GTTAAAAATGAGGGCTGTAGGAGTAGGTCAAATGGTACAGCACCTGCCTAGCAGACAAGGCAGCCCTGAGTTCAAATCCCAGTACCACCAAAAAGGGGGTTAAAAACTAAAAATCCTTTGTATTTTGAAGCTGTGTTAATAGGACCATAAATGTTTAGGATTTTACATCTTCTTGATGAGTTCATTTTTCATTATTAAACCATACTCTATCTCTGGTAACTTTTTTTGCTCTGAAGTCTAATTTGCCTGATATTAATTTGCCTCTCCAGTTTTGTGTTGATTAGTGTTAGCACAGAAGATAGATACACACATATATATGTATAGCTATACATTGTTTGTATATCTATATATTTTATATATGCATGTATATATTTATGTGTGTATATATACATATGTGACACCTGTTTAGTTTTAACTTACTTATATTTAAAATGTGTTTCCTGTTGACAGCATATAATTGGATTATGCTTTTTAACCAGTTGAATAACCTGTCAATTTTTTGGGGTACTAAGGGCTGAACTCAGAGCCTCACATATACTAAGCAAGCCATATGTCTAGTCTTTTTGTTTGTATTTTGTTTTTGAAATAGAGTCTTGCTAACTTTGCCTGGGGTGGTCTTGAACTCATGATCCTCCTGCCTCTGAAGTGCTGGGATTATAGGTGTGTAGCATCACATGTGGCTTTCCTTTCTGTTTCTAATGGTGCCTTTGAAGAGTAAAATTTTTAATCTTTTTTTTTTGGGTGGTACTGGGGTTTGAACTCAGGGCTTCACTTTTGTGAAGCAGGCACCCTTCCACTGGAGTCATTCCACCAGCTCTTAAATTTTGATAAAGTATAACTTAAGTTTTTAACTTTTATGTTTCATGCATTTTGTGCCTTAAATATTTGCTTAACCTGGAGATCATAACTATTTTCTTTTGTTTTTACTATACAATTTTTTTTGCAGTTCTGGGGTTTGAACTCAGGACTTTATGTATACTAGGTGGGTGCTTTACCACTTGAGCCATGACTCCAGCCCATCTAATTTTTTCTCACATATTTTGGGCAGGTATAAAAGTGTTAGATTGTGGTTCTTTTCTCTTAATATTTACCATAAATCCAACAGATAAAATATTTCTATTTATTAATTTATAATTTTAATTTTTGGCAGTGCTGGGATTTGAACTCAGAGCTTCATGCTGGCTAGGCAGGTATGTGTTCTACTATTTGAGCCACTCATCAGCCCCTTTTGCTTTTTAAGTTATTTTTTTCAGATAGGGTCTTACTTTTTGTCCTGGCAGGCCTTGGCCCTACCTATGGTTTTCTGAGTAGCTGGGATGACAGATACATGTCTGAATTGAATAAGATGGAGACTCACTCACTTTTTGCCTGTGCTGGCCACTATCCTCAAACCACCATCCTACTAATCTCTGCCTCCTGAGTAGCTGGGAGTACAGGTGTGAGCCATCACACCCAGTTTTCCTTTGGGTTTTTTTTTGAGACAGTCTTGCTATGTAGTGCAGGCTGGCCTTGAACTCACAATCTTTCTGCTTTAGCCTCCCAAGTGCTAGGATTGCAGGTGGGCACCACCACATCTGACAACAATAAGCATTTATTATCTCTCACAGTTACTTTTCTTCTTCTTCTCTTAATATTTATAGCATAAGTTTGATTAATATTTATTTTGAGATATTATCAACATTTGATAATTACATTATTATAACTACATAAATACTATTCATTTTCTTTTTTGCACTTTTTTTATACTAAGGATAGCTATTGTCTCATCTGTGTGTTTAATTTCTATGTATTTATCACAAATTCATGTATAAACTTCCTCCCAGTTTTCTAAACTCTTCAATACTTTAAAGCAAATGAAATGTTCATCAGTTTCCGCCAATGGAGACAGGTGTTTAGAGAAAGCTCCTGGAATCTTCTAGTGCTTCTAGGTTGGTTGAATCCCTGGCATTTTTCTTTTGTTTTTGCCTTTATTCACTCCTTCTATTTTATTTTTAATTAGCAGGCATTAATTGTACTCAGCAGTATCACTGTGATATTTTCATATATACGTATAATGTAATCTGATTAATTTCACCCCTCTATTACTTTTTCTTATCCCTCCTTGTCATCTACCTTTATTTTACATTTTTTAGTGGGTTTCACTTCATTTTTCTACATGTATATGAAGTACTTTGATCATATTCATCTAAAATGTTTTTTGAAGTACTGAGTATAGAAGGGAAAAAAATTAAATCTTAAATGTCAAGAAAAAGAGGTTTACTAAATAAGTTAGCATATCTTTAGTAGGGAAATTATTGTAGAAATTTTATAATTCTCAATTTAGGTCTATCGTCCATTTTAACTTAATTTTTGTGCATTGTGTGAAGTGAGTTGGCTGACCAACTTATCATATACTGCCAAAAATCACGTACATTACAATTCTTTTCAGAATATGTTTTCTTTTGATTGGTGTTTTTTGTTTTTAAAAAGTTAAAAGGTATTCCTTTGTAGAACATTACATTTTGTCTTGCCCATGCAGACTGGTATAACCATTAGGTGAAAAAGGGCAAGTAACTGCAGGTTTAGAATTTTGGGAAGCCAAAAATCTTCTCATTTTTACTTTTTCTATTGTTTCTTTAAATATACTAGGATTTCCTCTGTTAACATTTATCATTATCTGTATTTTATCAATGAAAAGTTAAGGCTCAACATTTCTGAGTTTATGCTAGTGAAGTGCTGTTTCATGAGCTCTTGGGTAATTTTAGAATGGGGCTGGTAGCCAGAGAAACCAACCATGTGGTTAGGGTTGGAATATTCAGACCTAACCTCAGACCTCTGGGGAGTGGAGAGGGATTGGAGGTTGAGTTAATTACTAATGGATACACATTGGAGCCTCCAGAATACCGCAAAATGAAGAGCTACGAGAAGCTCTGGATTGGTGAACAAATCCATCCATGTGGCAGAAGGATGAATGGCATAGTCCTATTCCCCAAAGGGATTCCTGTACTCAGACCCCTTTAGTCCTTGCCCTATGTACCTCTTTACCTAAATGTACATTTGTATTCTTTATAATAAAACAGCACACAAAAAAGAAGAAAAATCCAGGCTCAGGAATATTAGTATTTTGTCTTGTCATATAAACCTATTTGTTTTAATTTTAGACTCAAATTCAGGGCTTCAAATATAGAGTTCCTCACTTCGGCTTCTGTGAAATGGAAGGAAGGTGCAAAATATTACCTGGGGCTGGTGAGGTGAGTATGGCTTACATAACAATTTTCCCTTCTGTTCATAAATGGATAATGCTATATACATGGGTATCACTATCATATTTATTATTCATCGAGACCACATCTATTAAACATGGGAAAGTGTCTTATTGTATGACTTTTATCCTGCAGAGAGTCCAGGCAGAATGGTGACCCTGTGTTGTCTCCTACTTGACATGGCTTATTTTTAAATAATCTGACTTGATGAGTTTTCCTGTATTTCTTGAGAGGTCACAGTAGCTAATTTGTCACATTAGCCAATTTACCTTTCTTTGTGCTGCAAGAGAAATAAATGCATGTTTGTAGTTTCATCTGTCAAAAGTTTCTTTTTTTTTTTTGGTACTGGGATTTGAACTCAGGATCTCTACCTTGAGTCACTCCACCAGTCCTTTTTTGTGATGGTTTTTTTCAAGATAGGGTCTGGAGAACTATTGCAGGTGTTCTACCATCCCTTATCTCTGTCCACACTATGCACCAGCAGCTCCTTCCTACCTTCATAGTAACAAACTGTGGAGACCTGCTTGACATGATGTATTAAAATCGTTCACATGTATTTCCCTTGACCCACAGTGTGCTCTTAGTTATTTACACATTAGAAATGAGTGCATAAAGCCATCAAAAGTTTGTATGACAGAACGTTTGAAGCAGTGTTATTCTTAATGTAGCCAAATGGAAACAACTCAAATGCTTCTAAACAATGGGATGGATAAATAAATTGTGCCTATTCACGCAAAGAAATCATATTCGCCGTTGAAAACTAACAAATTGCTACCACAGAAACCATGGATGACTCTCACAAACAAAATGTGAGCCACAGAGCCAGACACAAAGAATGCATACCATATGATTTCAAAAGTTCAAACAGGGGCAAAACTAATCTGTAGTATTTGTTGGGATAGTGCCTGGCGGGGAAATGGCGCGTGTCTGAGGTGCTGATGGCTGTCTGCTTCTTGACCTGGATGGGGTTGACGAGGGTAGGCTCGCTGCTCACTTTGTGGTACAGCCGAGAGAACGTGTGAACACAACCCCGAAGGGGGAAATAAAACAACAACCGTGTAATTGAAAAAAAAAAAAGTCAACTCCCTTCCTCCTCAATTCTCCAGCTCTCCATTTCAAAGTAGGGAGCCCAGGAAAAACCCGAGACCAAAAAGTCGATCAAGCTCAAACCCTTGGACAGATCCGAAGACATCGCTCTAGGCAAAAGGCATTCCCAGATTTGTCCAAGGTGGTTCCAAAGGCGACCACCTTAGCCAAGTCCCTCCGCTGCCCGGGGAAAGAGGAGAAGGAAAAACAAGGAAGAAATTAAGTTACTTCTCAACCTGGCTAACTGGAGCTCCGGAATCACAGCGCAACGCCGGGGCGGGCTCATCTTCGCGGCGGGGCGGGGGCCCTAGCAACCGGGGAGCCTTTGTGGCGTCCTAGCAACGCGCGGCGCCCTCCGCCCTGCAAAGGGCCTCCGCTCCACGCGCCTCCCGCCCGCTCTCACCGCGACTTTTTGCGGCGGTGGGCGCTGGACAGCTCTCCCGCATTCTGTGGTGGGCGACAGCCAAGAGCCAGCTCAGGGGGAGGCCGGCGACAATAGCACGTTTAAGTAAAAACAAAAACAAAAACAAGACTTTTGGCAATTTTTAAATTTTAATGCACATCCCACGCTCCCGGGGGAGGGGGCTGGAGAGTGGGAAAATCACTTTAGTACAAACTCCATACAAGGAAGAGACCCATCGAGGACCAGCACCTAGTGTCCCGGGACCGGAGATGTTGGACACTATCGTCCCTGGTCTGCAGGAAATGGGCAGGCAGGTGCTGCCCACGCTGCCCTCACTGAGCCAGGAGGGTAAGCTGCTTGGGATGGGGGCTCCAGGGTTGGGCCTTCCCCTGCTTGTGGGATGAGGGGCAGGCACAGGACTTGCTTCCCTGTTCCTGGACTCAGATCTTGCCTGGAGTGACTAGCTGCCTTGGCAACCAGTTGGTAATCACACCAGCCAGGCTGAATGCCTAGGGACAGTTTCCTGACTGGGTTCCTTAATTAGGGAAAGGAGTTTTTATTGAATAGTATAATGCATATACAGCACTTAGCTGGCTGATAAGCACGAAATACGCTCCCAACAAATGCTAGCTTAACACAACCACTCCCACTCCACCCATTGGGGCTACCTAGAAGAAAGGAGGTTGTATAGGAGCTCTCCAGGCTCCTTTTCACAATTCATGCAAAGGCATACTTGCTTTTGCTGTCCTTGACATCGTTAAGAAAATGAGATGATTATAAAAAGATACTGGGTATGTGTTTGTATGTTTTTCCTAGAAAGCTCAATAGGCTTGGTTAGTAGCAAGACTGTTTTTAGCACAGTTTCTCACAAGAGTCACCCAGAAGTAGACTCTGAGATTTGTCTATAAGACAAAGACAGGCGCTCAGGAAATGTGAACTATTATTATTATTAAGTCATTGTAACAGAGATGCTGTGTAGGTTTTAACCAATTGATTTTAGGAGACAAAATAAATAATGAATGCTGCTGCTTTTTCTTTCCCTGCACCACTCCTAATTTTTTTGTCAAAATAATTCTAAAAGAAGCGTTAAAGATAATGGTCTTTCCAAATTAGCAACTTCTCCACCAGAATGGTACAGTTAAAACTGGTGAACCTACACTGCCATAATCATAACCACCCACAGTCTACAGTTTTCATTAGGGTTTGCTCTTCATGTTTATTCTACAGATTTGGACAAACGTAGAATGACTTGTATCCATCATTATAGTGTCCTACAGAGGATTTCTACAATCCTAAACATCCTCTACTGTTCTGCCTATTTATCCTGCTGCCAGCCCTAAACCCCTGGCCACCCATCTTTTTTACTGTCTCATAGTAGTTTTGCTTGTTTCTGCATGTTTTCTTTTTTCCTGATGACTTTTTTAAATATAGTTTTGTGTTTTACATTTAGTTATATGATCCATTTTCTGTTAATTCTTGTGAAGGGTATAAGGTCTACATTCATTTTTTTGCGTGTGGATGTCCAGTTCTAGAACTGTTTGTTGGAAAAACTCTTTTCTCTACTGTCTTGCCTTTGTTCTTTTGTCAAAGATCCCACATTTATATGGGTTTGTTTCTGAGCCTTACTACTTGTTACACTGACCTCTTTTCTACTCTTCTGCTAGTACCACACTGTCGTCATTACTGTAGCTTTATGGTAAGTTGCAAAGCTGGGTACAATCAGTCCTCTGACTTTGTTCTTTCCTTCAATATTTTTTTTCACTATTCTGTCTTCTGCCTTTCTCTACAAGTTTTACAATCAGTTTGTTGATATTCACAAGTTACTTGCTGGGATTTTGATCAGGCTTGCTTCGAATCTATAGATTAGCTTGACAAAAACTGACATCTTGGCAATGTTAAATCCTCTTCTCCATGAACATGGAGTATCTCTCTATTTAGTACTTTTATTTCTTTCATCAGTTTTGTAATTTTCCACAAACAGATTTTGAACATTCTGTGTTAGATCTATACCTACTATTTCTTTTTTTAAAATTTTATCATTTTTACATTTACTCACATGTGTATACATTGTTTGGGTCACCTCCCCACCCCTTTCTGGGAAGAACCTTATTTGTTCATTGCTAATATATAGGAGAGTGAGTGATTTTTGTATATTAACCTTGTATCCTATAACTTTGCTATAATCACTTATTAGTTCAGAGGGCTTTTTGCTAATTCTTTTTGATTTGTTTAATGGATGATGAAGTCATGTGCAGAATGTTTTATTTCTTCCTTTCTGATTTTCTGTTTTTGGTCTTATTGTATTAGCTGGGGCTAGTAGTATGATGTTGGAGTGGTGAGGTGATACCCTTGTTTTCTTACATTTATAATGCTATTTTTCACTTTGGGATTTTTTTTTTTGGTGGTTGGTAGTACTGGGATTTGAACTCAGGCCTTGCACTTGCTAAGCAGGCACTCTACCACTTGAACCACCCTTCCAGCCCTGTTTTCTTCCATTTCGGGAGAAAGCTCCTAGTTTCTTATAACTATGTAGGATGTTAGCTGTAGTATATATATATACTATATACATACATACATATATATATATATATATATACATACATATATATATATATGTATGTATATTCTTTCTCAAGCTGAGGAAGCTCTGGATTTCTGGTTTAAGTGAGGTCTGAGTGTCCCCCAAATGTCCATTGTGATTAAATTCTCCCTAAGTGCCACATAGGGAGATGGTGAGGAAGCGATCACTTCAATTGTTACCAGGATGACTTACGTGCAAAATCAGAGATCAGAAGTTGACCAAGAAAAATCAGCTCTTCTTGGAGCCATAAGAAGTGGAGGGCACAGGGCAAAAGTAGGTTGAACTGAATATAGAATGTGTTTCTAGGGATTGGTTGGTTTTTGTTTTGTTTTGTGGCAGTACTGGGGTTGGAACTCAGGGCTTCACACTTGCTAGTCAGGCACTCTACCGCTTGAGCCATGCTTCCACACTCTAGTTATTTTGGAGATAGGGTCTTGCTTTTTGCCTAGACTGGCCTGGACTGCAAATCCTCCTATTTTAAGCTTTCTGCTGATGCTGAGATGACAGGTGTGTGCCATCATGCTCAGCTTTTCTTCTGTTGAAATGGGGGGTCTCGAAAGCCTTTTTGCTCAGGCTGGCTTAGAACCTCCATCCTCCTGATCACAGCCTTCTGCTTAGCTTGGGATGACAGGCATGAGCCACCATGTGGCTCAACATGGGGTCTCACAAGCGTTTTGCCTGGACTGCCTTTGAACCTTGATCTTCCTGATCAAGCAAGCTAGGATTACAGGTGTGAGCCACAGCAGAACCCTGATACTCTTAACTAACAACAAGTCCAATGCCTGCACTTCTGCCTCAGATTAGTTCTTTATAATAGCTGATTCTTGGTGTTTCAGTGTTTGATTAAAATAAATAATAACCTAGCTTCCCATAAAATACAAAGTAATATATTGCTTAATATGCTTTGTAGACTGGATTGAAATTATTTTCATTTTTAGATTTAGTAGTATGCTCTCTAAAACTTGGAATATAAGAACAAGTTGGTTAGAAATCACAATCTATAACCTTTACAAATCTATTCCAATTGAATTCAGGGGCCTAAGGTTCCTAAAGAGAATCAAGTGCTTGTTTTCCTTTTTCTTCAGTGAGAAACAGCAGATTTCAGCTTAATTAAATAACTCTGCTATTGTATAAGGTTGCTCATTACATTTTGTAGAATAAAACATTACAGGGATCTTGACTGTATTATCCAAAGGAAGAAAGACTATTCTCAAATTTGCAATTCAGCTCAATCCTGTCTTTTCATTTGGATTCGGTTGTACACTATATAGTTTCTCCTGTCCCTAATTAAATAATTTCCTTTTCTGTGTAGATTGTTTTCCTGAAATAGGAGCTGCATGTCATGTGTAGGTAAAAGAACAGTGTTGACTTAATAACCTTGAAAATTGTCCATGTAAATCTGTATGCTGAGATTTTTATTAGTGAATTAATGATATTTCTGGTCATGATGAAAAATCTAAGTCAATATGAAGATGGCACTGGTTGGGAGACCTTCTTAGTTCTTAGCAGGCGGCAGTAGAATTCTTGGGGTTGTGGGTGTGTGCAGAATGCAGCAGGATGGGGGAAGAATGGGGAAAACACTTGGCTATGGAACTGCCCAATCCTGATTTAGAGTATGGCCAGAATCTTGGCTCTTGTGCTCATTGTGGCATGTAGCCCGTTTCACTGGTGCTAAGTTTCCATCATCAAACTTGTTCTCCCATGCTCATGAGAATGACTGTTACTTTCCTGAAAAATTAATAAAAATATATGTAACCCTGATATATAAAAATTAAAAGGTTTCGACCTTCCTACTTTAGTTAATAGTTTAAACCATTACAACCATTAGGAGAAAACCAATACCAATAAAGAATTAGTCTTTTTTTTTTTTTTACCAACTTCATCTGTGCTACAAAATGGCAACCTGGTGAACATCACCTTTTTTTCTTTTTGGTGGGACTAGGGCTTGAACTCAGGGCTTCATGCTTGCAAAGCAAGTGCTCATGCTTGAGCCACACCTCCAGCTCACTTTGCTTTGGTTACTTTGGAGATGAGGGGCCTTCACAAATTACTTGTCTGGACTGGCTTTGAACCAAGATCCTCTTGATCTCAGCCTCCCAAATAGCTAGAATTACAGGTGTGAGCCATTGGTGCTCAGCAAATGTCACCTTTCTTGGTCTTCCACTTTGAGAATTAAAACAACACTATTGATTTGCAGAGTCCTTACTTGGAAAGTATCTTTCAATAAACACATTATTTAGGTGTGTTTGAAATGGAGATGTAAACACAGATGTAATTTTCTGTTTCTAATTATTCATATCTACACTAAATATTTATGTTGTAAATTAACACTACAGTTATTGGAAACTACCCATTTTCAGACCACAGTTTGTTTTTTTTAAATACAACTCTGAACCAAATAATAAACATAGGCCTCCTTTTGATCAAAATAGAAATACAAAGTGAAGTCCCTGGGCCACTACCCCTGGACTGTTTTTAAAAATTATTTTACACATAATGTTAGTATATACATTGTTTCCAGAACATAGCACATTAGAAGCCATGATTTGGGACTGGGCAGGGAGCTTGCAGAGAGAAGTGACAACTGTTAGTCTAACAAGTGAAAAACAAGAATGAAAAGCGTTTTTGAGAATTTAGCAAAAATAGAAGTGTGGGAACAGGTTATGTATAGACCTGCTCTGACTGGCAGAGTGGCTCAAGTGGTAGAGCACCTACCTACATCTGCCAGCCCTTCATGCCTTAGTGACCTTGGTTTTATTCTTGTATTATAAAAGAGTAAAAGAATGAATGTTCGTATTGGTCAGATGACACAGAGTGGGACACTTGACAAATGGTTATTGAACGAGTCATTAAGAAAAACCTGGCCTGGTGGGATGGCTTGAACCTATAATCCCAGCTACTTGGGAGGCAGAGATTGGGAGGATCGCAGTCCAGGCTGGCCAGGGTAAAATATGTAGGACCCTGTTAGAAAAATGAAGCAAAAAGGACGGGGGTGTGTGACTCAAAAGGTAAAGAGCCTGCCTAGCAAGTGCAAGGCCCTAAGTAAAAAAGAAAAGCTAGTTTTATAGTTAGTTAACTTCCCCGAGTTCCCTTTATTCTAGAAAAGGTTTCTTAAAATTTATTATTATTATTAAAGTCATATCTTTGTAACTTACATGCATAAAATTTAGTTACCAAGAAAATTAATTTTGGGGAATGCTTTTGTTTTCTGTTAATTCTAAATTAATTAGGAATTACTGTCATTTGATTGTGCATCTTATATTTACATTTGGCTTATTAGCACTAAGATACTGTCACATGAGTGCTCATATAAATTATTTTTGTTTTCTTTGAATTTTAGAAGTCTGTATGATCTGGGGGCATGTTTCAGAATTTGTGGAACGACAGCTAACCTGCACAAGGTAGGATTTATACTTCAATTTTAACACGAGAGTGTTGTATGAAGATTATTTTTCTTCACTCCTTCAGTGAACTGTGTTTCTTGATCTTTTTTTTCCTTTCAGGGGGTTCAGATTTTAGGATTTGGAACTTTCACTTTCACAAGACAAAAGCTTGAGGTGGGAAACAAGTTGATTTTACTTCAGAGGCCTGTGTTTATCATGGCAGAGAAGCTGGTGCAGATCCATGGACTAAAACAAAACAAAGTATATTCTCCTGGTAAGCCATCTGGACATTAAGACTTTTCCCAGATCACTGGCCTGGATAAAAATGAAAAGGGCAAAGCTTGGCTAGTGCTGCTTTAGTTTCTAGTTTAAAGGATTCAGTTTTTCACATGGTAACTTTGGCAGCGGGAGGGACCTGGGTGGGAAAACAATAGTCTTCCTGCAGGCCATTTAAAACCCCAGTAACTTAAGAAGCAGGGAGGAGAAAATCTGATGCTTCATAAAGCCAAGTGTATACAAAAGCCATGCCATAGAATTGTACAGACTCGTATTCATATTACAGATCCTAAGAAATTAAAAGTGGTTATAAAGAAGAGAAATTTAATTAGGGTCTTTGGTGGGCTGTGATAACTAAATGTGTTTCTGGCCTATGTATAATCTAAATTATTAAAATTTAAAAGTTAGAAGTCAAATTATTCCACCCTTTCTTACACCTTAAAACTCGTCTGCCTTCTCCTTCCTCTCTTCCTTCTTCCTTCCCTTCTTTCCTTCCTTCTTTCTGCATTTACCAAGGGCCGACTATGTATATACACATACACACTGGAAAACAAATACCAAAAAACTATACTTAGAATTCACTATGCATATATTCAGTATGGTGAGTTTGATGAATTTTTCAGCCATTTTTACCTAGAACTTTATGACAGAAGAAATATATTTCACCAAAAACTTACTAAAGGAAAAGAAAACCACAAACTTTTTTTTGCAAAACCATTTTTCCTTAGAATTAGAGTCTATTTTCCATCTTAGATCTTGTAGTGTAGTCCAAAAAAATAGCTTAGATTTATAACTTTTTATAGGATGAAGAAATTTCTGAATTAAATGTATCAGACTGAATTAATTTAAAAGAACCATTTTGTTCACAGTTCAGCTTTTGGGTTATGAATCTTCATTATTAACTAACTAGATAAGTAATCAAACATTATATGGTGGATTTAAGGACCAATAAGACATGGTTCTTGCTTTAAAGAGTTCAGGATATAGCACAAATAGGCATATTAGCAAATGATGCAACGCAATTAGGTGCTGTGAAAGCAGCACACGTCAGAGCTGGATTAAATGGAATGGGAGCCCACAGGTGAGTGGCAGAGTGAGCCTCTGTGCTTGGGGAAGTTTAGGAAGATGATGTGTGAGGGGGTCTTAAAGAATGATAGAATGTCACCAGCAGAGAAGCTGAGGGGAGATATTTCAGAAACAGGATGAATAAGTCAAAGATATGGGAAAGGAAGTGTGAGTATGTCTGTGTGGCCAACACAGATGATTGTGGCAAATGGAGGGAAGTAAGAAAAATGGCAGATGTGTCAATTCTATGATAAGGTCAATTTTACGATTCAGCCTGTAGGCATCAGGAGCCTTTCAGTTTCCGAGCAGTGAATTTTCTGAACTGGCCAAGTTTTTAATTGGAGAAGGTAGCTCTTTCAATACAGTAGCTTGGTAAAATAAGCTAAAAGCCTGAATGAAGGCAGTGGAAATCAGGAAGAAAGGAGGAGTGTATTCCTGAGACATTCAGATGCAGAACTGATAGGGTGGTTGAGAGTAGTGGGCAGGGAGAGGGAGGAGGATAACTCAGATTTCTTGGCTGGAGAACAGATGGCTCATGCCATTAACTTCCATGCGGAATGAGGGGAAAAGGTAGGTGGTGGTGAATAAAATAATGAATTTGTATTAGGCATGTTAAATTTGGGATTCTTACAGGTACCTTGTGTTAGAGATCAGTCTAGCGTTTAGGAGAGGGGTGGAGACTAAAGATCAAGATTTGAATAAGTTTATCCAGGAGTGGCTATAAAGTAAGAAGAGACAGATTAGAGTAGAATACTGTGAGAAAACAAACAAACACATAACCCCAAACAAACAAAAAACAAACCCTTCAGTATAATAAGGAATAGAAGAGGAAGAAAGCCAGTAAAATAGACCAATGAGGTAGAGGCTGGAGAACTTCTACCAAGAGGAAAGTGATACATGCTAGGCCTCATGCCTATAATTCTCGCTGTTTAGGAGACAGATCAGTAGGATGTGATTCCAGGCCAGCTTTGGCAAATTGTTTGAGAGACCCCATCTCCAAAATTACCAAAACAAAAATGAACTAGAGTAGTGGGTCAAGCAGTAGAGTGACTGCTTTGCAAGTACAAAGCCCTGAGTTCAAATTCCAGACTCACAAAAAAAATGAGAGATGAGAGGGAGAGAGAGAGAGAGAGAGAGAGAGAGAAGAGAAGAGAAGAGAAGAGAAGAGAAGAGAGAAGAGATACAAGAGAAAAGAGAGGGCATGGCCAACGGGAGTTAGAGAAGTTATATGAGATGAAATTTGCAGAGTATTCATTGGCTTGTCCATGGTGAGAAATAGTGTCTGCTGAGATGAGTGGGCTGGAAGACAGATTACAGAGGGCTAACAGACAATTGGAAAAGGGGACTCTAAAGGCAGGTAACAGTATTAAACAAAAACAAATTGGAGGGAGGTGGTATAGAATTACTGTTAAGTTGTGCAGGAAACAGTGGGCTGATACAATGAAGCAAGCATCTCGTAGAACTGTTAGTCCTTATCATTCAGCATTATCAATACTACATGAAAGGTTGTAATTCATGCTTACTGAGTGAAGACTTAGACTACTCTTTTCTTTGCCCTGTTACTGGATCAATGATCCTTGCTGTTGTCTTTTGTTGGCCTTATCATCTTGATCCTTGTTGCTATTTACCCTTTCCTGACTTGTGGACCTTGCACAGCTCCTACAACAGTGTCAACCAAACACACCCCATGCTTCCTTTGTGCTAGCTGTAAACTTGTTCCTTTGTAGTGTCATTTATGGGCTCATTAGAGAGGAAAAGCTTTCTGCAAGCCATCCAGTCTAATACTCTTGTATAAGACCCTATTTCATGTGAAGGATAATTTCCACTGAAGATGTCTATCTTCTCAAAACATTTAACATTTGTAGATGTTTATCATTATTTAAAATAATAATGGAGGAGATATGGAGTTATGCAAATATCACTGCAGCATGTTCTGAAAGATAAGGGGGCTGAAAACTTCAGAAAACCCTCTGATGAATAAAAGCTACCTCCTACAGAAAACCAAAAGCCTCTGTAGAGTATTGTTTGAAAGTCAATTATTTTTATTCTGTACATAAAGCATTAGTATATTTTTAGGGAAAATTGTACTGCTTGGTATGTGTTAATAACCTGTTGTGTGAGTTGCAGTATTAATATTACACTGGTTATAACTAAAAGCTTCACACAGACAATTCTATTTTTGAGTAGCAAGTGAGAATCAGATAATTATTTGTAGGTGCACATGACATGTCCTTATTGTAATCTCCACTTCCTGTCCCCCACCCCAATTGTCTTTTTCTCTTCTAGGTGATATCCCAGTTGTTCCACTTAATTTTGTCATGATATCTCTGGAAGGTCCATTTAACAGGGATACGGTGGAAGGATGTGTTAAGGAGACATTGCTTTTTTTGTCACGATCCATTTCCATCAAACAGAGTATGGAGTTTACATTCAAAGGAATTGGAGTCCTCACGATTAAAGACAGCAAAGTGAAGATGAGATTTTATAAGGACTTTCTTTGCACAATGGATGGAAGTGGGACTTTGATGAAAGCCCTAGCAAATGTAAATTAATGTTTTCCTTCTCCTACTCCCCCTTGCAATGGTGGCTCTGAATCATATATAGGTGTGTTGTCATTAAGAAAAACTCAGGTTGACATATTTTAGTTGATACTTTTCCCAAGTGTATGGAAGTGCCTGTGACAGATGAGTAATTCCCTGACAAAAAAGATGAGGAGGGCAAAGAAACTTTAAGTTTTGAGTCAAGGCCAACCAAGGAATATAAATGGACCAGGAACTCTTATAATTCTGGACATATTATAGTACCTTGTTGTTGAGAAAGTTTCCCCACATATCTTTTTTCACCCACATATCTTATTTAATCTGAGTGTGAAAACATCATAAAGTCAGCATTCATAGCATTGCCATTCTGATTTTACACGTGAGGAAAGTAGGGGTCTAGACAGGCTATGTGGGAAGCCTGCATCAGGGTGCCAAGGGAGCCAGCGTTGGCATTCAAGTCCAGTCATCCTCATCACTCAGTTTTTGCTGTCTGTACTACTTTATTTCAATGAAAGTCTATAACAAAATTAGTTCAAATCATGGAAATGTATCTTTAGCTTATAATTTTCTGTGTCATAGAAGAAATTTCATAATTGGTGCCATCATTGTTAACCATTAAGTAGCTGACGTGACTAAGTCAGACCTAGCAGAGTTTAAGGAGGTGAAGAAATAGCTTATCAGCAGGATTTATCGAGCACTTGGTGTGCCTTACATACACTTTAGAAACTAACAAAGTTAACATGAATGAACTGAGTTACCATAGAATCCTATAGAGTAAAAGCCTGATTTTTAAAAATGAAATCTATGAGAATGGTCTAATTCAATTCATTTCTCCTTTCATGGAACTCTGAGCTGGAGCTTTAGCAGATTGGCCTGTGCATAACAAGGCTTTTGGTGTTTTCTGCACAGTCTGGTTTCCATCAGGATTGGTAAGAGGAATGCCAACCCAATGTGTAGGAAGTGAAAGAACATACAGAGGAACCCTATCTTTTCCATGAAAACCCATAGCAAGGTTTGCAAATTCGTAACAAAGGTTGTAGTGGCCAGCTCCTGTTTAACTCTGGGGGCTTCTGCTGATCTATGGAGCTTCACTGTGTGTTTAACAGAAAAAAGAGCATTTTACCTGACTTACTGAACTCTAAAGCATTAGCTTTTTAAAATTTTTATTTAATGTCTGTTAATTTAAACCAACTTTATTGATTGAGATGGGGTCTCAATCAATCTGCCCAGGCTGGTTTTGAACTTTTGGGCTCAAGCAATCCTCCAGGAATGCTCAAGCATTCCTGAGTAGCCAGGACCAAGGACATGTGCCACCCTACCCAGCAAAAGTATAACTTTTAAGGAATATTTTTTGAAAGAACTGGTCCTGGGAAGATATTCTATGAGAAGAGGGTTTGGAGGCCAAAGCAAAGGATGCTGACTGTATCAGTCACGCTCATGGGCAGAGGCACAGTACATCAGTGTGTAAAGAGCTAAGAAGTGTGGCTGCAAAACAGCCAGTTTGACAGTCTGAATGAATTTCATACAATGTTCATCTATATCTCGTTCACTCTTTAAGCATTGTGGTGTGGTAAGAGTTTTATTCTCCAACCCCTTATAACTTAAAAACCTGACTTCTGTCTTCTACAAAGTCCTCTTGGAAACTTAACTGTGCATACTTCAGTGACATGGCTTTTTTTTTTTTTTTTTGAAGTTTTTGTTTGTAGTACTGGGAGTTGAGCTCAGAGCCTTTTGCTGCTTTTTGGTTTTTTTTTTAAATCTTTTTCTGGGAATTCCCTTCAAAGCCTTTTTGTAGGTCATAGCATTTGTCCAAAAATAATTTTATATATTTTCTATATTAATAATGTAAAAATGTAGTTATTATATAATGTAATCATTATAATGACTAATTGTTGAGCACATACTTTGTGTTCATTTTCATGGAGTACCTTGTAAGAGTCCTAAGAATTAATCCTACTGTTAGCCCTACAGTCCTATTGCCTGAGGTCACGTAGCAGTTAGTGGTGTGTGCATACGAACAGAAGCTAATCTGACCCCTTCTCTTAACTGCCTAATTTTAGAGTCATGTGGCTCTACAGTGGAATTAACTTCCTGATAGTTTCAGGAAGTCTGCTTTCCTTCCAAAGATGTCTAAAAGAAGCTTCAATTCTCAAAGCCATTGCCAAAGAAGAGATGGTTTGAAAACAGGCAACATTCACAGAATTGTTGTGCAATTACCCAGGGTGATGACTTTGATGACTAGGGGGACTTTAAACATCAACAAAACATCCATGAAGAGTTTCAAAGTAGCATTGCCTTGGAGACAAGCCTTCACAGGTTTGTCTGTCTTGGATCATAGCCCAGGTGTAACCTACTCTGTCTCTGTCCTCCAGAGGCCTGGCACTGTGGACTCAGTGTTGTCCAGCAGAGAGGCTTTTGGGAAGCAGCCCAGCAGTACGCTCGTATTTCCAAGGTAAGTGCTTTGTCAGTGGGTTCCTCCAGCTCTCCTTGCTCATTGGGCAGGGTTTCTCAATCTTTAATGCATTCTCTCTCTCTCTCTCTCTCTGTACCAGCAAAGAAGTTTATTGCAAAGGCTTTCTGACTTCCTGGAAATTCTCCACCAAACTTGGTCCCTGCAATATTAACACTCTTCTTACCTGCTGGGCTTTCCTCTATTTCTCCACTTCCTCTTGTTGCAGGCCAGTGTTGAGAGTTCTTGCCTCATGAGGCAGCAAGTTGACTTGTGAGACAAGGGTAGCACACAAAGTAGGATTTATTAGAGAAGGAAAGAGTTGCAGCTAGAGCAGTGCTCTGCGACAGATTTATGAGCCTGTGTATCTCCTCCTCAGGGTACAGGGCTCATCGTGCTCTCCATGGGGCTGGGATACTTACTCACTCATCTGTCCTTTAGGCCCCCAGACCCAACAAGTCCCTGCTCTGAGACAAGAGCAGGGGAGAGGGTTGATGTCTCGTCTAGCTGCTTCTTGCTGACAATGGGGCGATGGAGGAGCGGAGGTAGTTGTGGTGGTACTTTTCTCAGGGGTTGACCCATGTAGTCTCCAGAGGCCCCCAAAAGAACTGGACAGAGGGCTCATGCATAGGCAGAGGTGAGTATTCTTTAACTAAGAGCTGGAATTTGAACCTGTTGAGATATGAACCTGGAAAGAGAATTTATTATACAAGGCCTAAATAGGAGTAATAGAAGGAGCATAAAAAAGGGGCCAGAAGAGGTAGTGCCCAAGGAGCCCAGCTCCATATGCTGTTTCAGAAGGACCACGAATTGGCTAGCTAGCTGCTATGAGGGGTTAGTGGGGTCTTCAAAGGCAAATGAGGCTGACTGTCAGGATGCAGAGGAATGTAAAAGAAAGTGTCCTTTAAATCTAATATAGAGTAATATTGGGCTCTTCAGGGTATTTGTGCCAATAGAGTGTAGGGATTGGGAATAATTGGGTGGAGGGGAATGACTGTTTCATTAATGAGCCAGAGACTTTGAACAAGTTTTTATTTATCTGGTCCTTTTTAAGCAGTAAGAATAGGAGAACTATAGGAGCTGGACCAACTGATTAGTAGCCTTTTTTTTTTAAAGGAATTTATGATAGGTAAGAGGTTTCATCATCCCTCAGATTTGAGGAGATACTACTTTTGATGTAGAAACTGTGAGGGATCTTTGAGTTTTATGTTCATACTCAATGGGAAGGCCATTTTTGCTCTCCCTACAGCCATTCCATCAGTCCACACTGTGGGATCTACTTGTTCCTGAAGAAGGGGGCAGCAGAGATAGTCCCCTGGGGGGAGTAGAATCTGAACCTTTAGTTGATATAGTATATCCTGTCCCAGCGGGAGCACTGGAGTCTCAAGGACTATGAGAAAAGAATGACAGAAGTGGAGGTCCCCCCAATAGCAGGCCAGAGGCTGAGTTAAAATAGCACTCTAGGGGCTGGCCAAGTATGCCCCAAACGGTAACCTTGCCATTGGACTGGGGACTGGGAGAGAATGGTAAGACAGAGAAATGGGCTCCACTGTCTAGGAGGAAGATGATCTCTTGCTTATCTACTGTTATGGTTACCAGAGGCTCCTCAACATTGATGTCAAGAAGTGGATCCTGGACAGGAGGCCCTGGAACCCATCATTTCATAGGAGGTGGTACCCCACCTTCCACCTGGAGACGGGGGCACTTAGATTTCCAGTGGTTACCTTTGCAGAGAGGGCAAGGTCCCAGTGGGGGCTGGGGCTGTCTCCCGGGCTGTCCCCCTTTTGGGGACTTCTGCAGAAGTGTCCCTTCTGTCCACAATGGTAGCAAGCTCAGGATGAGAGCTCCCATCAGGTGGGGCACTCCCTGAGAGCTGTGATTAGGTCGTGGTGTCTTTTATCCTTTTCTGTCTTTTTAGTGAGGTCTTGGTTATAGTACACAGGTATGGCTACTTGCATTAGTTGATCCACTGACTTTTCTCCTTCAGCCACAGACTTTTGGAGTTTTCTACGGATATCTGGGTCTGACTGAGTTAGAAATTTATCTTTGAGGAGAACCTCTCCCACTTGTGACTCAGTCCACTGTGGTATGCTTTTGAATAGTGTTCTTAAGATGCTGTAGAAAGGTAAGGGGGCTTTCTTCAGGGCCTTGCTGTACTACAGTCACCTGGGAATAGTTTAGAGGTTTAACTTTGGCCCTTTTTATCCCTTCCAGTATGATGGATGAAGGGGCATGGATACCATTTATCTCCCTCATCATTTTGATCCCTATGTAGATGCCGAAGGGACTGCCTGTGCCCCCATGGGCATGGGCATATTTCTTCCCTCATTTCCAGATGCCATGGGTATTGGGGCTCATTGTAGATGGAAATTATCTCCAACCTGAGTGGCCTGGGCCCGGACCCATTGCTTTTCTAATGAGGAAAGACTCTGGTCCAGTAGAAGCATGATGTCCTTCCATGCCAAGTCAAAGGTTTGGATCACAGAAATAAAGGATATACTGGTCTGGGGCATCAGTATAGCTAGACAGAACTATTTTAATCTCCCTTAGGTCTGATAACTGGAAGGGGACATAGACTCACCCTCTTCCTACCACTGCCTGCTGAAGGGGGAAACATCCATTAGGAGGTCCGAATATTGGGGTGCCTCAGAAGGCAGGGCAAAGGGTGGAGCAGTAGAGGGAGCAATAGGGATGGGGGCCTTGTCACTGGGATTTTTGGTTCTCCTTCCCCATGTTTATCCTGTGGTAGCAATTATGGAGCCATTCTGGGTGGTCCCGGAGCTAAAAGAAAAGCTGTGTATAGGAGACCTCAGTCCACTTTTTCTCCTTTTTACAGAAAAGGTCTAATTGGAGTATGGTATTATAATTTAAAGAGCCCTCTGAAGGCCACTTCTTTTGGTCACCCAAAGGATATTGGGGCCAGGCCTCAGTACAAAGAAAGATAAGGGGTTTTTTTCTTGAGATTATTAGGGTAGAGGTCCTTCCAACTTTTCAGTAGACAGGCCAGCAGAGACCACTTGGGTACTGATCCCAGAAGATGAGTGGGCAGGTCCCATCTACAAAAACTTGTCAGACTTCCCTTTCATCAGCATCCTGACTGGGGATTGACCTGAGAAGAACAGGTGTCCCTGTCTCATGATTTCCGTCTGCTGTCCATGGCCAGGACCAAAGGAAATGTAGTGACTGGTTGGACTGGGCCACCCTACTGATGCAGTGAAAACCTCTAGGATCCTGCTTAAAGCCTCATATCACCAAAAGCAGGCAGCCAAATGGAAGGGTATCTCTTTAACAAAGGGATGAATCACCTGGAGAAATGTCTGTAGAGTTAGAGAAGGGTAGTCAGAAGGAGTCCCAGGGCTGTCACAGTGCCACAAAAGGATGACTAGTGTCAATATTTGGAGGAAAACTTTTTTATGCTAAGGCCTAAACTGTAGGAAGTTTTAAATGAGAGGTCCAGAGACCATGGCAAACCCAGTTTTTTGTTTTTTTTTTGGCTGTTCCTGGAAGATTATATTAGCGCTTTTGGGGGACTGTAACTTTGGGATAAGAATTAGCTCTAAAGGCTAGATCAGTTGGGCTCAGGTGCAAAGCAGGGCTGGGTGAGGGGCAAGGCATGTGCCATGACCAGGCAAGGCATCATTGCCCTGCCCCATGTCTGGGACAAGCAACCTCCTCCACGTTGTTCGTCTCTGTGGCTCACTGCTCCTCCTCCTGTGCATGTGTGTGCATGCATGTGTGCTTGTTTTCCCCCTCATTTCTTTTTGGGGGAGTGGTGGCAAGTTGCAGTTCATCACTGTGCACAGCCTGCAGGTGCAGCGGCAACTCTGGATGCGAGCTGGTCTCTTCCCATGGATTGCTTAGCTATGGCCAGCAGCACTGTTGTGCCCTGGGAGCCTGGTGGGATGGGCTGGTGTCCCCACATGCATGGGCACTTCCCCTCCTCCCCTTGCAAGGGTTGGGGTTAGGGTGTGTGTGTGGTGCAGAGGCCCGTATGTTCCTCACCCTCGCTGCTCTGCCCCAGGCCTGAGGTTCTGTGAGGTGCCCTTCCTTGACTGGCACCCAGCAGCCAATTCAAAACTGGTGTGGACCAAGGGGCATGATAAACTAGGTGTGGGAGTAACTGAAGAAAGTCATAAGAAACTATGGTACAAGTTTCCCATGGGAGGCCAGGGTCACAGTAAACACAGGGAGGGGCAGGTGGACAGAGACAAAGAACAAGGCAGCGGGACGGGGAGGGAACGTGTGAGTAAAAGTGTGTCCACCGTTTCTGGTGGGAACAAAGTCTGGCCCGTCATAGAGGGAAAGATCCAACTTTTAGTTATCTCTCTTGGCGGCTTACGTGTCAATTGTCAGTCTTGTATAATCCCCAAGCAGGCTTGATACCTTGTACTCCAAAGAGGGATGCATCAGAGTTTGCCCATGAGTCTTAGTGAGCTCAGCCTGCGAGAAAACAGCCACTGGCCAGGGAAGATCCTTACAACAGTGAAAAGAGGAGGTGAAAGTGAAGGGAAAGCGCACAGGGAGTCTGCCTTTGAGTAGTTCATAGCAGGGGGGTCTCCCCCGAGGAGAGAATCTATAGGGGCCCTGGAAGCTCATGGTTGCTACCCAAGTAAACTCCTGCTTGATCAGGCATTTTAGTACTGAACTCAGATCCTGAGGAAGTGCCCCATGTTGTGCACCACAAAATGTAACAGGCCTGTGATGTGGGTTTCTTGTTTTAGGTGGGATTGGGAATAAACTCACAAAACACAGATTGTGCACACACAGGTAGATTTATTAAAGAAAGAAAAGGCTGCAGCTAGAGCAGTGCAGCAGAGCCTGGAAACCAGTGGCTCTCTGCTCAGGTGAGATGCTTTTTATGGATGCTTTAACCCTGGGTTAGGGTAAGTGTTAGGTGGGCTCTTTCCATTGGCCGTGGATTTGCGTGTGTGGGAGCTCTTTGATGAGCTGGTCTGTTTTTCCCTTATAGGGGGAAACAACCTTGAGAGCATTCTGTTTTACCAGCCCTGTGGCAGATTTATGAGACCCTGTATCTCCTCAGGGGGCAGGGCTCATAGAGCTCTCCGTGAGGGATGGGAAACTCACTCATCTGCTCTTTAGGTCCCCAGCCCCAATACCCTGCTCTAGTTATTTCTCTTCCTGCAGTTAGCATATCTCCTATCTGCACTTTTACCACTCAACAGCTTAAAAAGTTAAGGTAGACTAGGGAATAGCTTTACCCCAAGAGTAAGGTGGGTGTTACTGGAGGCTGCTGCTGGCAATGATTTTAATAATGACAATAATAATGGTGGCAATTAACAATTACCATGAGTACCCATTGGATGCTGTTAAGCACTTTCTCAATATTTCTGTATTAATCTTCACTATCACCATGTATGATATGTGTTATAATTTCTCACATCTCAAAGTTAATTTAAATTCTTTTTTTAATAAGTAAAGCAATATGGTATACTATTAACAGCACTGGACTAGAGGTCAAGAGGCTTGAGTTTTATTTCCAGTTTGGCTATCCTCCTCTCATTGTGTGCTCCTAATTGTGTTCTTAATCTTAATTATGCATTAATCACTGTGCATGTCAGGTGGAGGAAATGTGGACAATAATTAGCTTCCTACATTAGTATTTTTTTCATGTTTTTGAGTGTGTGACATCCTGTTGTGTTTGCTGGTTTGGAACAATACACCCTGGAAGAGCTGTATGACATATACCTCAGAAGAATCAGGGTGAAGGACAGAATCGGCCTTGGAGATTAGTCATTCCAATGCCCAATCTTGCAGATGAAATGGCCAAATAGCTAATGAATGCCTGAGCTAGAAAAAATGGCTCCCTATTGCTCAGTGTTGTTTTCTTTCATAGCACCATGTTGTCTTACTCATTAAAAATAAACCAATGGAGTCAAAGTAATTTTATTTTGATTGTTTTGGAATGCAAATTTAGCTGCCCCCTTTGTTATATTTTGGCTGAAACGCTCCAAATAATAGCAGTGGGTCAAAGAACAGAGATGGGGGCTCCTGCCAGTTTGAGATGAAATACTCAAACAACTGTTGGGTTTACTTTTGTGAAGTTCCTGAACTCAATTACTTAGCCCCTCCTCCCCAACTGTAGCCCAGTACTCCATATTTGAGACCAGAGAAAACCTACAACTACCCATACCCACTGAAAACCACCTCCCCTCCCAAAGCTACTTTTGGAGGGCCTTCACTTTTGCCTGAGGTGAGGATGAGGAGGTGGGGAGGAGAAAGAGGGAGGAGAGAAATAACCATGCAGGCATACTGTTGTTTTACCAGATTATGAGTTCTTGCCTTCAAGCTATCCAACAACAGTCTTTCACGGTATCACCCCTGGAGCATCTGGCTCCAGATCTGGAAAGGACCCAGAAAAATTCAAACTAAAGCCAAAGTCAAAAGCTTAAATCAAGGCCTTCAGAGCAATTTCTTTATATACAAGCTGCTTTGAGCCCACAGTATCAAGACAAGGTCTTGTCTGGCTCCCAGACTTAGCCTCAAAGAGAATGAGTCCATGATATGTACTCAGCAAATCAAATCACTTACCCCCTTGAAGGAAGTGGGCTTATTTCAGACTCAGCACAGTGGCTGGGATGAGAATGGAGAGAGTTCCTCTAGTTACCTGTTCAGGTCCAGTGCAGTGGACAAACATCTTGATTCAATTCCAGGACTGAGCACAAAGAGATGGAGAGCAAACTGCCCATGGAGACTATTGCTGAAGAAGATGGAGAGAATAGTCAAGGGAAGAGCAAGCAGTCAGACAAAGAAGGTGCCAGAGGTAGGCCAATGGTTTCTGGGTGCAGTCTCTGTTCTTGTCTGCTTATAAGTCCAGTCATACTGCTTAACAATCATATGTGCCCAAAGTAAATAAAGTTAGATTCATGAATAACCACTGTATATTTTCTCTAACAAACATCTGTTCCTAGAGTCCTGCATCTCACCTAAACCACTTTTTTTTTTTTGCAGTACTGGGGTTTGAACTCAGGGTCTTCACCTTGAGCTGCTCCACCAGTCCTATTGTTGTGATATGTTTTTTTGAGACAGGGTCTTGCGAACTATTTGCCTGGGCTGGCTTTGATGAACCATGATCCTCCCGAGTAGCTAGGATTACAGAGGTGAGCCACTGGAGTCCGGCTTCACCTTAACCACTTTGAGAGTCTAAGGTCTTATGATTCTCAGGCTTTTAGATTACTAGTCTCTTTGCTAGTTCCGCATTGCTTAAAGAGCTCAAAATTCAGCTGGTCTCAGTGACTCACTCCTGTAATTCAAGCTATATCTAGGTAGGAGGATCATAGTCCAAGGCCAGCCCTGGCAAAAAGTGAGACACTATTTGAAAAATAACTAAAGCAAAAAGGGATGGGGGCATGGCTCAAGGTGTAGAGTGCTTGCCTTGCAAGCACAAGGCCCTGAATTCAAGCCTTACTACTATCAAAAACAATTAAAGAAAACAAGGTGTGGGGGGAAGTGTTTCAAAACTCAGATGACTCTAGGGTCCAGGCAGGGAACATAAATGCATGAAGTAGGTCCTAGGGCATACTCTGTCTTAATACGGAAAAGGACAATTATTTAAAGGTAAGAGAATGTATCTTCTGTGAAAATTTACCTTGGTAAAAACTATTCGCATTTGTCTGTGTTAAGTAGAAACTACGCATCTAGAGGTTTGAAAATTTCAGGGAAAGTCACTTCCATTTTTTTTTTAATTCTAGATATCTTATCACCCAAGAAACTTCAAGACAGACAAGGTATCTCTCCTCCCAAAGTGACAAATTCTCTGGACAAGTTTGAGCAAAGTGGGAATAGTAAGAAGAATGTGACCCCTGAAAAGTAACGCATTGACTTTTTTTCCTGTTGCATTTTACTAAATGGAATTTTGACATATTTTTTGATGCAAGGAATTTTAGTAATTGTTCGTTCATTCCTCTTATATCCAATATTATTTGAGAACATTGTTGTTTTCTGGGATTGTTGTTTCCTGAGTACTTAGATATTATGTGACACAATTTCATATTTATATCAAATGGAAAGTAAGTTTACCAAATAGGTCTGGCACTCCATTAGTTCTCAATAAAAACTCTTTGCATTAATGAATATATTAAGTTTCTCATAGCCATGTCCTATGATGTTGTGTCAAAGATTCCTGTGTTACTCTTCTCTCTGTGAGTAGGATACTTTTTCAGATCTCAAATCATCAGTTATACTCAAGTATTTATTGGACACCTAAACTATGCACCTTGCATTATGCTGTCAATTTTTAATTTATTCATGTGTCACAATTATCAGAATCATATGGGAAATTTATGTACTTTGTGGGTTACTAAGTCACATCCAAAACCGGAGGCATGCTTTTAATTTTTATGGTAATGTCACTTTTGTGAAAGAAAATTGAGAGTTAAATGTCTAAAATTTGGGAATTTAGTTCAACCCAACAAACTCTGAGCATACAGTTCTAGGCACTAAAGAGACAGGACAAAAGACATAAAACCTACTTCCATAAAACTTACAGTCTTATAGGTAGATCGGCACTAAAGAAGTGATACGTGTGATGAAGACAGCAAAAGAAAGTACAAATTGGGCACCATGGTCACTGACGCCTATCATCTTAACTTCTCTGGAGGTGGAGATTGGGAAGATTGAGTTTCAAGGCCAGCCTGGGTAGAAAGTTCAGGAGACCCCATCTCAATCAATAAAAGCAGGGTGTGGTGGTATGCACCTGTCATCCCATCTATGGCAGGAAGCAGAAATGGGAGGCTCATGGTCCAGGTCTGTCTGGCCATACACATGCGAGACCGTATCTCAAAAATAACCAGAGTAAAAATTTTTATTTATTTCATAGAATAAAAAGGTTTGGGGGTGTGGCTCAAGTGGTAGAGCACCTGTCAAGCATGCACAAAGCCCTGAGTTCAAACCCCAGTACAGCAGAAACAAAACAAAACAAAACAAATAAGCAAAAACCAGAGGCTACAAAGAAGAGGGAATAATTAATTACTGGAAGTTGTTAGAGTTTCCTGTAGTGGTTAATAAAAATGTATTATCTGTTGATTGCTAAAATAATACATATTTATTACAGAGATTTTGAAAAAATTCAGAAAAGCAGGAGCTACAAAAAAATTACCCATAGCCCCACTATATAAGGGAAACTTTCTGTTAATTTTATGATATATAGTCTTTATTTCAATGCACATATAATATATACATATATTTACACTTGAAATATTCACACATATTAAATCAAATTGAGACCATGTTGTATGAAACTTGGTTATACTTAACAGTAAGTGGTGAAGAGCTTACAGCTTGAAATCTCCTAAGAGATAAATAAATGATTGGACACCATCTTAATGGAAGATTAAACTTTTCCTTTAACTAATCTTCTGTTGAATATTTAGTTTTTAGTTTTATATTATAAACAATGTATGATAAATATAATTACACTTTTTTTACACACATCTGAATATTTCATAGAATAAAAACCTTAAAGTTATATATGAGAGAGAAAGGGTAAGCCACTTTGATACATTGCCAATTATGCTTAGGAAGTTTGTACCAAATTATCCTCCCAGTTTTAGTAATGCTGTCTTTTCTATGGTTTGCTCACACTGGACATTATACTTTAAGAGGTCTTTCTACCATAATAGGTGAAATGAAGTATTTCATTGTCTTTTTAATTTGTATTTGTTTGATTGTTAGTAATTATTTATTTGTTTGGTTTTTGATACAGGAGTCAAGAACCAAATAAATAAACAAATAAGGCTGGCCTTGAACCCACACCTGGCTTGTATTTATTGTTAAAGGTTTCCCAGCTATCCATAGTTGTTCTTTTGATATTTTCCTATTTTAATCCTGTATCCTTTTTCTACTTTATTGCCTTAGAAAAAAAAGTTGTATTTTCTATAAAGAGAACTGTATAGACTATAAGTACAGATAGCTTTCTGGTATATGTGTTTAAATATTTTCCCCACCTGAAAATATTTGATTCTTAGTCATTTGATGCACATAAATTTAAAATGTGTCTTGTCCTATTTACTAACCAGTCCAAGTACTCAAACACTATGTTTGTAGGTGTTAGTCCATGATTACATTTTTATTTGGAAAAAAATTCTTTCAGAAAAGTAAAAATTAATTTAGATTGATAAAGTGTAACACTGCAAACCAAAGAGGAATAGTAAAATGGGAAGAGTCAGAAAAATTTAAATTAAGGCAGTGGTCTGGGGCATTTTTTAAAAAAAAATAAAGGATCCTAAGTGCTCTTGGGGGCCTTGAGAGCCATTTTAAGGGTGTAACTGAGGATGTATGGATTGGGCTCTGGGCCCTATTTCCTTACTTCTACTGGAGCATGTGAGTTTTTTTTTTTCCTTTTTTTGTTTTACATATTGAGACTTGAATAAAATTTGTTTAAAACTAAGGGGCTGGGGCTTTCACTGCTTAATAATTGAATGCAACTGGTCTGAGGAAAGATAATAAAGGCATGAAACTAAGATCCGTGTGAGAGGAAGTTTTATGTACATATGAACACACGTGGAGGGGCAATACTGGGGTTTGAAGCCAGGGCTTCAAGCTGCTCTTTGACTTGAGCTACACCTCCAGCCCTAGAGAAAGCCTTAGAGTTGAATGTTCAAGAGTTAAAATCAACCAGGCTCGTTGATTAATTGATGAAGAGCAGTTGAGAGGAGGAGTCAAAGATAACTTAGAGCAAGTACCCAGAAATGTGACACATTTCTTATCGCCATCTCATGCCTCTTGTGTCTTACACAAGAACCTCTACCCCTCTCTGATTTTGCAAAAAAAGTTATCAAGTCTAAATATTCTGAAAAGGTCCTAGTGAGAGCTAAATGCAGTCCACCTGCAATTTTATGTTTTTGCAAATGAAGTTGTATTGGATCACAGCCATGCTCATTTGTTTGCATATCATTTATGACTGCTAGTTTTGCCAAGGAAAATATAGCCCTCAAAGTCTAAGATAGCCATTCACCCTTTGGATCTTTACAGAAAAAAATCTGCCGTCTTCTGCTCTAAACAATCCCATTCTCAATCTAGGTTCCTATGACTTTGGCAGATTAAGATGGATTTACCATGAGATGGCAGTCCAAAATTACAAGGGTCATGTGGAAACTAGCCTCATAATAAGATAATCAGAAACAAAACAAGAAATGAACTCCCAAGGATTTTAGTTCTTGAACATTAAAAAGCACAGAATATAGAACAAGTTGTTTAAAATATTTAAAGAATAAAAGATAGAATGGAAAGCATGAGTAAGGAACAAGAAATTACTAAAAGTGATCAGCGAGGTCAGGATGTTCAGAGCGTTTGAATTGTGAAACTGTAGTAAAGGATCATAGAACCATTTACTACTTCATACATTGGTAATTTAGAAGGCCTTTTAAAAGAAAAGTTTCTAAGTGAATGGAGTTTTTCTTTTTTTTTTTTGTGGGTATGTTCTCATTTTATACTGTGGTTCATTTAATGTTAGTTATTTGCAACATTATAATTTTTTGAGCCTTCATTTATGGCTTTTTTGCATACTTACGTTCTTTTTTTTTTTTCAGTACTGGAGTTTGAACTCAGGGCCTCATCCTTGCTAGGCAGGCACTACTTCCATCCTCTTCACCCCTTAGTATCCTTTTCTTTCCCCCTTCTACCTCCTGATGAACCTCCCAGACAGTCCCCCATATACATTCATGTCCATTATCATCATTTAAGGTCTAGGTTCTACAAATGAGTGAGAACACATGATATTTGTCCTTTTGAACTTGGCTTATCTGGCTCAGCATGGTGTTCTCCACTTGCATCCTTTTTCCTGCAAGTGACATAACTTTATTTTTCTTTATGGCTGAGTAATATTTCATATATATGTATATATCATATACATACCATATTTTCTTTATCCATTCATCAGTTGTTGGGTACCTTGGCTGATTCCACAGTTTGGCTATTGTAAAGAGAGCTGCAATAAACATGACTGTGCAGGTATATTTCTTAAATATTGATCCCTACTCATTTGAATATATGCCCGAGTGTTATGGTGGGATCATAAGGTAAGTCTATTTTTAGTTTTCTGAGTTACCCCTCATACTGATTTCCATAGTGGGTGCACTAGTTTACATTCCCACCAACAGTGTATGATGAGGGCTCCTTCCCACCTCCTCCACCCCCAGAAACTTTAAAATTTGATGCACCCTCGTTTGTCAATTCTTGCTCTTATTTCCTGGGCAATAGGAGTCCTATCCAAAAAATAAACACCTATGCCTGTATCTTCCAGAGTTTTTCCTATTTTTTTCCTGTAGGAGTTTCAAGTCTTGCATTAAGATCTTTGATCCATTTAGAGTTGATTTTTGTACAAGGTGAGAGACTGGGGTCCAATTTCAGTCTTCTGCATGTAGATAACCAGCTTTCCCAACACCATTTGTTGAAGAGGCTGTCTTTTCTCCAGTGTATGTCTTCGGTTCCTTGTCAAAGATCAGAAGGATGTATTGTGTGGTTTTATTCTTGGCCTTCTGTTCTGCTCCACTGGCCTTTGTGTCTGTTTTGTGCCAGTACCATGCTGTTTTTGTTACTATGGCTCTTTAGTACAATTTGAAGTCTGGTATTGTGATACCTCCAAGTGTTGGTCTTTTTACTTAGGATTGCTTTTGATATTTGTAGTCTTTTTTTTCCATATGAATTTTAGAATAGATTTTTCTATTTGCAAAGAATGACATGGGGATTTTAATGGACATTGCATTGAATCTATAGATTGCTTTCAGTAGAGTAGCTATTGTCATGATATTAATTCTGCCAATCCATGCACATGAGAGGTCTTCCATCTTCTAGTGCTTGCTTTCTTCAAGGTTTTATAGTTTTCATTGTAGAGCTCTTTCACCTCCTTGGTTAAGTTTATATCTAGGTATTTAATTTTTTGAGGTTATTGTGAATGAGATTGTTTTTCTGATTTATTCTCAGCCTGTTAATTGTTGCTATATATAAAAGCTACTGGTTTTTGTATGCCAATTTTTTATCCTGCCTTGTTGCTGAAAGTGTTTATCAAATCTTAGGAGTTTTTGGTGGACTCTTTAGGGTCTTTTAAGTGTAGAATATCACATCATCTACAAATAGAGGTAATTTGACTTTTTCCTTCCCTTTTAAATCTTTTATTTTTCTCTTGCCGTATTGCTCTGTACACCATTCTTTTTCATCTTTCTGCATGTATGTGTTATATATGTATATATGCATTTTATTATTTTATATATGTGTATACAGGATAAAAGCCAAAGTGCTTCCCATGGCCTCACGATCCTGACTAGTTTCTGACTTCTTGCTCCTGACTTATCTCTCTCCAGCCACACTAAACACAGACACATTCCCACCTCAGGGCTGGTTGGAAAGTATTTTCTAATGGCATACCTACATTGTTTCTTTTTTACTTCCTTTGGGTATTTATTCAAATGTCACCTTCTTGGTGAGAACTTTCCCAGTCATTCAATTTATGATTTAATACTCTATCTCTCTAGCCTTGCATGGCATTTATCATGATGAAATATACTGCAGAGTTCACTTATTTATCTTGTTACTGGTTGTCATCAGAATGATAATTTCATGTGGACAGAGATTGTGTGTGTGTGTTTGTTTGCACTGGATTTCCTGTGTCTAGAAGACTGCACATGGTAAGCATTCAGTATGTTTTTGTGGAATGAAATAAATTTTATTCCCATTGCACAGAATTGGTAACTGAAGATTTCCAAGATTACATAGCTTATCCGGTGGTCAGTCACCTTATTTATAAGCAACAAAGCTGGATTCAAATCCAGCTTTATTTAACAAAGTATAGGTTCTTAACCTCAATGCATAGAGCTGGTCTGAAGATAAACACTGAGATTCACTGTTCTTTATCTTATGATTAGGCTTGTCTCTAAAATTATCATTGCAATAGAGGCCAGATTGTATTAAACATTAAAACATTAACCAATGTTTCACTGGTTTTATAGCTTTTCATCACCAGGTTGTCAGAAAAATGACAATGAAATGAAGCCCAAAACATCTCCAGCCCCTACTTGCCAGGATCATAAAAAGGCAGGACAGGTACGGTATCTTCAAACAAATAAGTGCCAGTCAGAAGCTTTCTCTAACTTATTTTTCTCAGCGTTCTGGGACTCGCTCTTTCTTAATTATAATATATGGGGATGAGTCAAGTACTCAGGACCCCAAAATGTGGTAAATCTACTACTCAGAATCTATTAGTAAACAGAAATAGTGTTGGGAAGTCTTTTCTAATTTTCAGCTGCTCTTGTCAGTTTCAGTGAGAATTCAGTAAATCCTTTTGATTATTTGTGAGATCTGCTCCTCAAATCTCATTTTCCTAGTTGTCACTAATAATATTCTTTTATAAAGTATATTTCTTGACATACTTTAAGAGAGTTGTGAAGGGAATGTGAAGGCAAAAAGTAAAATGCAAAAATTAATTTGTCCTAAAATTTGGGATTGTAGGAAATGTGCTATGTTTGTTTGCAACGAGCACAACGAAATTCCCCATTGTACTACAATGAGGAGAGGAGGAGGAGAGAGACAGAAGATGAGCAGCTCATACAGCAGTACCAAATGCTGAAAGACAAGGAGGCTTTCTTCAAACAGCAGGTAGTCCAACACCTCAATCAAAAAGGGTTTAGTATGGGAGAGTAGATCTTGATCAAACTTCACTTAATATGCTCCAGCAAGTACCTGTATTGTAACACAGCTAATTGTTTATATACTGCTGGACTAAAACTTGAGCTGTATGCAAGTTTTCACTAATAATAAACAACTCTCGGGTGGATGCCATGTAGTTGAATGTTGGTACATAGCACTGATTTTTTTTTTTATCCCGGATGGACTGAATTTTAAAGGTGGAATTTTTGGATTTATGCTGCTTTATTTCTGATTTCTGATCAAATACAAACCTAGTCAAATTTTTACCTTTCAAATTCATGGCCCATCTCAAGCAAGGAAGGACAGAATGACACCTTTATATTTGCTCTATCCTGATTTCTGTGGTCTCTAATACCGCCTTTCTTGCACTTGTGATATAATCTGCCATTCCTTCCTTTTTTAGTTTTTTTGTTTGTTTGTTTCATTTTTTTGGTGATACCGGGGTTTGAACTCAGGGTCTCACGCTTGCTAGGCAGGCGCTCTACCATTTGAGCCATTCTATCAATCCTTCCATTCCTTCTTAAGATCCTTGTAGTGATGATGTTCAAAGTCCAAGAATGGGAAATAAAAGACCTCTCCTCACTGACTTCTATAAATCTATTAAGACACCAGAAAAGACCACTGCCTCCAAAAAGGTTTCTATCTTGGTTGGATTATGTTAATGCCATAGAACAAAAAGTTTTAAAAGCTCTATTTTAATTTGTGATTAAAATTTTGAAAATTGTTTTTGCAATAGATGAAAAGTCTGGCGAATAGAGAACAAAATCAGAAAAATGCTGCCTATAATCTTGGAGTTGCTGAAGCTATAAGAAATCACAAGAATGAGAAACCTGAATTTTATGTAAGAATCCCTATAAAATTTCTATTGCTAACAGCTGCCCCACCTGTGAGACTTTAGAGAACCACTCCCTGTGCTGAAGAATACAGAGTTGAAAAGTGGGCTCTGCAAGGTTGAAGCTTTATTCTAGGGCATGGACTGTCCAGTGCCTCCCTCCACATGGTTCCCAGTCACAACACAGTTCTAGTTAATCAGTTCAGCTCTTGTTATATTATACTATAATATATTATATATATTATACTCATTGTCAACCAGGTCCTGGGACAGGTGGGAGGGGCAGTATACAAAAGTCCAACCCTAGGATCTAAAGAGAACTGGCAGAATCGGCATCACCAATTTCTGCTGGAGATGCAAAAATCTAGGGCCTTACCCCAGGTTTCTAGAGTGAGATCTACACTGGAATAAGATCCCAGGTCATTATGTGCCTCATTTTAGTTCTACTTAAATTTTTTTCTTTCCCTCCCACTATTTAGGTGGTCTGACATTCTGCCCACAAATATCATAAAGTATTTTTTCTTTATTCATTATTAAACAACATCAAACTCCTCTGGCCACGGTGCTGGCAGCTAGAAAATCAACTTTCTTCTTCTAAATAGATCTTGGTGTAGTTGGGGAGACAAAAAAAACATGATATAACAGTTATGACAAACTTTGAAAAGGGCACTCACTGTGTGAGCAAGGAGGAGTGTCATGTAATCCAGACCAGAGCTCTGGGAAGACTTCCTAACACGAAAGGGTAAGGTAAAGAAGTGAATGGAGGAAGAACATTCCAGGCAGGAAGCAGCAGAAAGGGAGAGCAAGAAGTGGGCATTTGATGTTTAGGCATGATAGCTCTATCTTCCTACATATAAAGCCTCAGACTATATTTATTTATACCTCCTCTTAGGTATATCTTTGGACATCTTAAACTTAAAGAAACCAAAAACAGAACTTTTGATTCCCTCCTCAATCTGTTTTTCTTTTTCTTCCTGTGTTATCGAGAGGCATCACTAGCAGCCAGCTACACAAATCCCATATTTAAGAGTGGTCTCCAGTTCCTCATTCTCTGACTTTCACATCCAACCATCTGCAAGTTCAGTTGCCTTTCCTACAAAATATGTCCAACACCTGGTCAAAACCTCTTCATCATCAATGTCTAAGACACAACCTGCTCCAAGACACCTTATAGACTGAACTTCTCCAGCACCTTTGACTCATCACTTGCGTTCTTGCTTTCCTACAGTCTGTCCTCAGTATGGCAGCCAAAGTGATCTTTCAGTATTTCTAACCGAAACACACCCCTGTCATGTTTAATTCCTCTAATAGCATTCCACTGAACTAAAATGAAATCCAGACTCCTCACTTTGCCCTATCACACCCCACACACTGGTCCTTTGCCTTTCTCTTTGGGCTCCTCAGCTTCTATTTCTCCTTGCTCACTACGCCTCAGCCACATGGCCCTCCTTTCTGCTCACTGGTCATGCCTCCTTTGTTCTGTATGGGACACAGGACCCACTGGTGTTCACAGTGGGGTGATTCAATCCATTTCATAAAGAAGCCTTCCCTAAGAACCAGACAATTTAACCCTATTCCCACCCTATCACTTGCTGTCATAGGGCTTCATAGCACTAGATTTAACTTTAAATGATGGATGTACTGTTTTCTTGTTCAGTGTCTATTTCCTGCACCTGAAAGCAGGCTGTGTAAGGGCAAGGATCTCTAATCTCAATTGTTTTTGGATTACCAGTGTCCAGAATGGCCTGTTCCCAGTAGATGCTTACTTCTCTTTCTTTCCTCCTCCTCTGTGACCTTGCTCGTGGTTTTGCACACACTTGGAATTCTTTCTTTCTTCCATCTGGATGTTGTAAGTGCTAGCTCAGGTCCGACATCGTGGAATCTTTTTCTTCTGTTCCAGAAAAGGGATTGTGAGCTCAGTTTAGCTCAGTTTCATCCTTGAATATGCTCATGTTATTCTGTGAGTTACCTCAGCACTAGGTGACCAACACGGGGCAAATGTTAGAAATTAAGAAATACTTTCTGATTGATTTTAATCTGATTATTAACTTTTTTTGATATTGTAGCATAAATGAATTGCTTTTCTTTCATTCTAGAAATCCTTCCTATTTGATAAACGACCCCTTAGTCCTGAGATTAATGCTCTTAGGCAAGAGGAATATTCCCAAAGTCTCCTGAGGCAAATGAATAACAGACGGGAAAAGGAAATAAATCAAAGACAAAACAGAGAGTTGATGGACCGCCTAGAACAAGTGCAACTCACAGAGGAGTGAGTTCAGCCAGACATACTCTGAAAAATGGATTCAAATTTTTTACGTGTAGTTAATTTCTATGTGGGATTAATTAGCATTGATAGTTTCACTGGAATCACTGTAACCATTTGAGCAAACTAACTATAGCTAACAGCTATTACCATAGCATAATTTCTCATTAGAAAAATGAAAAAGTCATCATTACTGTAATTATAGTAATGATTACAGTGTATAATTATTATAATTATATAGCACCATTTTGTATTGTGTTATGATCACTGATACTGGTAGATGGAGAAAGTAATTTGTCTTGAGCAGGCAATCTCCAGCTGTCAGATGCTCATGGCATTACTGAGGTTTTATTAAAAGTATGTAGGGTGTCCCACAGAACCTGAAAGCAGAAATGTATGGGAAACTCAGAAGGAACTGGAAAGCCACTCTATGTGGCTTACACCCACAGCTTCTTAGTTGACATTGTCTTTATTCCAGCTCAAACTTTGGGAATGTTAGTCTCAATTCCAGATTTTCAGAAGATATAATCTTATTTATCTGGGGCCTAAGATAGTTTCAGGGCCATGGAGTTCATATATGCCTAAGGGGGCCCACATTTCTGCTATTGAAGTCAGGAGAGCAATTGTGGAGATTAAAGAGTATATTTTTATGAAATGTATATATTACATTATACTCACTATAGTGAATGCTCCATATGGATTTTCTGGAAGTTGTGTGTAATGAATCATAAATTATAAGAGGAGAGATTATTTTTCTTAAAAAGGAATTTTAGTATGAATCAGCTTTATAGAATGAATAGTCACTTCTTGCTTTCTTATCTAGAGTTTTGAAAGAGCTGTGTGTGTGGGAGGGTGTTGGGGGGCACCTGGGTATAAGCAGATGACTGATTATCCTATCTGTCCTGTGTTCAACACATAGTCTACTAGCCTATAGATCTGAATTACCTTTTCTCTCTTAAAATGAAAGAGAGACAGAATGAGACATCAATGTTTATTTGTCATGTGAGCAAGACACTAAAGACTATAAAAGCAGTCCTCACACCTTTGCCTGTTCTTAAATGCCAGACTTGCTGCACAAAGAGCCAAATTTTTAAAAGAGAAGATGGAAGAAACACAGTGTTACAAGAGAGCTTTGGATGCACAGGTAAAGGGGCAATTATCATTGTTTTTTAAAATTATGCAGTGCATCAGTAGCATTCTATAAATATGTATATATTGTATAATGTTAAGAACAATCTTTTTTTTTCTTTTATTATTCATATGTGCATACAAGGCTTGGGTCATTTCACCCTCCTGCCCCCACCCCCTCCCTTACCACCCACTCCCCCCCCTCCCCCCAACCCCCTCAATACCAAGCAGAAACTATTTTGCCCTTATTTCTAATTTTGTTGTAGAGAGAGTATAAGCAATAATAGGAAGGAACAAGGGTTTTTGCTGGTTGAGATAAGGATAGCTATACAGGGCATTAACTCACATTGATTTCCTGTGCGTGCATGTTACCTTCTAGGTTAATTCTTTTTGATCTAACCTTTTCTCTAGTTCCTGTTCCCCTTTTCCTACTGGCCTCAGTTGCTTTTTAAGGTATCTGCTTTAGTTTCTCTGCGTTAAGGGCAACAAATGCTAGCTAATTTTTTAGGTGTCTTACCTATCCTCACCCCTCCCTTGTGTGCTCTTGCTTTTATCATGTGCTCATAGTCCAATCCCATTGTTGTGTTTGCCCTTGATCTAATGTCCACATATGAGGGAGAACATACAATTTTTGGTCTTTTGGGCCAGGCTAACCTCACTCAGCATGATGTTCTCCAATTCCATCCATTTACCAGCGAATGATAACATTTCGTTCTTCTTTATGGCTGCATAAAATTCCATCGTGTATAGATACCACATTTTCTTAATCCATTCGTCAGTGCTGGGGCATCTTGGCTGTTTCCATAACTTGGCTATTGTGAATAGTGCTGCAATAAACATGGGTGTGCAGGTGCCTCTGGAGTAACCTGTGTCACAGTCTTTTGGGTATATCCCCAAGAGTGGTATTGCTGGATCAAATGGTAGATAGATGTCTAGCTTTTTAAGTAGCCTCCAAATTTTTTTCCAGAGTGGTTGTACTAGTTTACATTCCCACCAACAGTGTAAGAGGGTTCCTTTTTCCCCATATCCTCACCAACACCTGTTGTTGGTGGTGTTGCTGATGATGGCTATTCTAACAGGGGTGAGGTGGAATCTTAGCGTGGTTTTAATTTGCATTTCCTTTATTGCTAGAGATGGTGAGCATTTTTTCATGTGTTTTTTTGGCCATTTGAATTTCTTCTTTTGAGAAAGTTCTGTTTAGTTCACGTGCCCATTTCTTTATTGGTTCATTAGTTTTGGGAGAATTTAGTTTTTTAAGTTCTCTATATATTCTGGTAATCAGTCCTTTGTCTGATGTATAGTTGGGAAATATTTTCTCCCACTCTGTGGGTGTTCTCTTCAGTTTAGAGTCCATTTCTTTTGATGAACAGAAGCTTTTTAGCTTTATGAGGTCCCATTTATCTATGCTATCTCTTAGTTGCTGTGCTGCTGGGGTTTCATTGAGAAAGTTGTTAAGAACAATCTTAAGAGTTATGCATTTGGTGTTTTTTGAGCCCCTTATTCTTTCCTGTAAGGTACTGATACTCTATTCTAGAATTGTGCACAAAGTTTATTTCCTGATTGAATTATAATCATCTTTATGTGTGTCCTTGTTTCAGATAAAGAACAAATCCTCTCGGTTGCCCATGTTTGAGCCAGACTCCCTTGAGCCCATCTTTGATAACAGTGAGAGTCAATTGATGGCAGAAAAGCGAAAGCGAGAACAGAATTGTATGAAGCACCAGCTGGAGGCAGCTGCTGACCACAAGAGGAAAGCCATCCTGAACCAGCTGATCGATCAGAGGCGGGATCTGCAGATGCTTCAGAGGACACACATAGAGTAAGGAAGGAGACCCCCTACTTTCCCTCTATCAGTCTCTCTCTCTCTCTGTTCACCTCATCTCTCTCTCTCTCTCTCTCTCTCTCTCTCTCTCTCTCACACACACACACACACACACACACACACACTAGCAGAGAAGTAAGACTAATAACTAACATATTGAGGAGTTACTTAAGGAAGACATTGTTCTAAGGTCATTACATGCTTCATTTTGTTTTACCCTTTCAATTCATCTTATGAAAAAATGTTATAAATAATAAAAAGGAAATCCTCTCTTGATCTCGTTTTTCCCTTTAGTCACCTCCCTATATTTTCCTTCTCCTTCTCTTCCTCCTTTTTTGTGTGCTAGGGATCGAGCTCAGGATCTTCCATATGCTAGCAAGTGCTCTACCACTGAGCTACATTCTCAGCCAGAACAACTTGAAAGAGTTTTTCTTACGAGCGTTACCCATTGGAGGCCCAGTATGAGCCACAAATGTGATGTAATGCTCAGATGGACTCAGGCATGACACTTGGGCCCTTTCTCAACTTCCACTAAATTCCTCTCCCATTGTGAGGGCAGTGGTGAAGGTGGTGGTGGGAGGCAGAGAAAGATTTTATACCATAGCAGTGCACATATTTTTAAGTTTAAACATCAGACATCCAGTTTATTACAATGCCCAAATAGTTTATTAAAATGTCCAGTGGGGAATTTTTAAAGGTCCTAACTGGCTTTCTATTTTGCCACATCTTCCTGGTTCCTTCCTAGCCTTTCTATAATCCATATCTCCTGCTCCATACCTCCATACCAGATCACCACAGAGAACTCCAGTTTTTTCTTTGCCAATGTTTAGTAATTCTTAGATCCTTATTAGCCAAAATTATCAAGGTGTTCCAAAAAGGAGTTCCAAAAAGGATTCTGTCCAAAGGAATCCACTGTTTTAGAAGCCAGTTGTATTTATAAAAAAGTGATTTTATTACATTTTTATAAGTTTTATAAATGGTCAGTGGATAGTGAATAGGGTGTTGGTTTCTTTATCAATTATGGATAATGTAAGCATCTATCTCCAGATGGTTGAGAGTTAATTAAATAATTCTTGTAAGTAACTTAGTGTAGTGCCGACTCAGAGTAAGTGTTCAGTTAAGGGTAGTGATTACTGTTACAAGGTGAGAAACTGAGGGAGAGGCAATTCTTTTTCTGGGTTATAAATCAGCATAACATTTCTGTTATGTTCCATACCAAGTAGGCCCAGACATAAAAACCCAAGTAGAATAGTAGGTTGAAGATGGAGGACACAATGATAAGGTGGGGGGTTGGTTGTTGGTAGAGAGGAATGGTCAAGTCCAATGCAGGACAGAGTCTCGTATGCTTCCAGGACAATGTATACTTGTATGCCTGTATATTTGCTAAACTGTTGAAATGTTTTCACATTCACCAATCAGTAACTGTTGTTCCAAGACCCAGAAGTGCACCTCTGTTGCCCAGGATGTCCCAACCCCTCCCTGGTACCCCCATCTCCCCTCCCCACCTTATTACACCTAAAGGATGAGTATCTGGGGCCCCCAGACCACTTCTGGGGTCCATTCTGATTGGTTGGTGTGGTTCTGTCACTTTACCAGTTGTATGATATTGGGTAGGTTATATACTTCTGAGGGTGTTGGTTTCTTTATCAATTATGGATGATGTAAGCATCTATCTCCAGATGGTTGAGAGTTAATTAAATAATTCTTGAAAGTAACTTAGTGTAGTGACGACTCAGAGTAAGTGTTCAGTTAAGGGTAGCGATTACTGTTACAAGTTGAGCAACTGAGGGAGAGGCAATTCTTTTTCTGGGTTATAAATCAGCATAATATTTCTCTATTATAGTAACTTAAGTAGGTGGGACTGTCCTTATCTGTGGTCCTCCTGAGAGATGACTCCGCACAGGTAATTATTACTGATCTCAGGATAGAACACAGAGTAATTTTGAACATTTTTCTGAGGGCAGAGGGTCATAAAAGCCTTTTCAAGAGGAAATAAAAGAGGTTACAGAAAAGGCCAGACTCTGTGGAGAGTGGTGGTGAGAATCAACAGCCAGGCAAAGTGTGGTGTGGTGAAGAGCCAGGGCCCCACTATCCATGACGTAGGTGACTGGAAATGCCTATGCTATGGGGTTATGCCCATGGCTTTGATTCTGCTTCCTGTGCCATAATTCTGAGAGTCTGTAAAATTTACTCTAGTTTTCTCCCTGAGCATGCTGTTTTATTTTCAGCAGATTCCATGGTTTTGAAATCACAAAATATGCTGTTTCCAGATTAAAAGATTATACTGTAATAATCCTAAAAGGCACTGTCCTCTCTTTGGACAGTGGAGAGGAGAGATGGTTACAGCCTAAGAAGATTTGTGAACACATAAATGCGACCAGAGGGAAGGCATAGCTTTTCTACTGATTTTTTTTTCAGTATTGGGGTTTGAACTCAGAATCTTATGTTTGCTAGGCAGGCACTCTACCACTGAGCCATGCCTCTAGCCCCCCTTTTTTTGCTGTAATTATTTTTCAAGTAGGGTCTCATATTTTTTCCTGAGCTGACCTGGACTGTGGTGCTCCTACCTGTGCCTTCTGTGTAGCTAGGATCACAGGTACACACCACCACAGTCAGCTTATTGATTGAGATGGGGTCTTGCTAACTTTATTCCTGGGCCTGGCTTCAAACCATAATCCTCCCAGTTTTTGCCTCCCAAGTAGCTGGGATTGAGCCCTTGTGTGTGGCCACTTTTTTTTTTAAATCAACTTTATTGAGATAATTGGCATGTAATAAACTGTATGTACTTAAAGTGTGATGTTGATGAGTGTGACATATGTATGCATCCACTCATGAAGCCATCACCACAATCAAGATAATGTACACATCTGTCGAGTTTCCTTATGCCATGTTGTAATTTCTCCCTTCACCTCTGCTGCTCCTGACCTCATCCTCAAGCAACCACTGACTTGCCTTCCATCATTTTAGGTCAATTTTCATTTCCTACGGTTTTATATAAGTGGAACCATATAATATATATTCTTTTTGTCTGGCTTCTTTCAATCTGAGTCATTATTTTGAAATTCACCCAAGTTGTTGTGCGTAGCAATGTTTCTATTTTTTTTATTGCTGAATAATATTTCATTGCATAAATTCCATACTTAGTTCATTCATTCATCTGTTGATGGCCATTTAGGATATTTCTGGGTTTTGACTATTATAAGTAAAGCTACTCTGAACATTTGTGTATAATTCTTTGAATGGATATAAGGCTCTTTTTGTCTTGAATAAATGCCTAGAAGTGGCATGGCCCATATATGGTAGTAGGTTTAACTTTTAAAGAAGTGTCACACTGTTTTCAAAGTGGTTATATTATTTCACATTCTTAACCAGTAGTACATGACGTCTTAGTACCTCTCCATCTTCACCAACGCTTGATATGATCAGTCATTTCACTGTTAGCTATTTGAAAAGGTGTGTAGTGGTAACTCATGCTTTAATTTGCTTTTTTTTTTTTTTGCTGTTGTTCATTTCTTCACATGTGCATACATTGTTTGGGTCATTTCTCTACCCAGTCCCCCCTCCCTGACCCTTTGCCCCCCCCACACCCTTCCCTCCCTTCCCCCCTCAGTTCCAGGCAGGTCCTGTTCTGCCCTTATCACTGATTTTGTTGAAGAAAAGACACAAGCATAAAAAGGAAGACAAAGCAGTTTTGCTAGTTGAGTTAAGGATAGCTATACAGAGAGATTCCTACTATTGCTTTCATGTACCCATGTGTTACAACCCATGTCGATTCAACTCTAACTGATCTTTATGTTGGTTCCTGATCCCCTGCTCACGATAACCTGTCGTTTCTGTATTAGTTCCTCTGGAGTGAGGACATCAAACACTTTCATGTTTTGGGTTTTCTACCTATTCCTGTATCTCCCGTATGTGCTCTCCCCTTGTCATGTGATCCAAGTCCAACCACATTGCTGCATTTGCCTTAGATTTAAAGTCCGCATATGAGGGAGAACATACCATTTTTGGTCTTCTGAGCTTGGCTGACCTTGCTCAGAATGATATTCTCCAGTTCCATCTATTTACCTGCAAATGATAAGATTTCATTTTTCTTCATGGTTGAGTAAAATTCCATTGTGTACAAGTACCACATTTTCTTGATCCATTTATCAGTAGTGGGGCATCTTTGTTGTTTCCATACTTGGCTATTGTAAATAGTACTGCAATAAACATGGGTGTGTAGGTGCCTCTGGAGTAACCTGTGTCGCATTCCTTTCAGTATATTCCCAGGAGTGGGATTGCTGGATCATATGGCAGGTCTGTGTTTAGATTTTTAACAAGTCTCCAAATATTTTTCCAGAGTGGTTGCACTAGCTTACATTCCCACCAGCAGTGTACAAGGGTTCCTTTTTCCCCACATCCTCGCCAACACCTGTTGTTGTTGGTGTTTTCAATGATGGCTATTCTAACAGGGGTGAGGTGGAATCTTAGTGTGGTTAATTTGCTTTTAATTGAAATTTTCATTTAACTTCTCTAATGACTTATGATGTTCAGAATCATTTTTACGTGCCTATTTGGCATTTCTGCATCTTCTTAGGTTGCATCCTGAAGCGTCTGTTCAAATCTTTTGTTCTTTTTTTTCTTCACAGTTTTGGGGATCCAACCCAGGGCATTGTACATACTAGGCAAGTGCTCTTAATATTGAACCACCTTTCTCAGCAGTGCTTATTATATTTTTTAAAAATTGAGTTATTTCTTACTGTTGAGTTTTGAAATTCTAAATATGCCTAAGAGGAAGATGTCCTTCTCATGTTTTATTTTATTTATTGCATTTTTATTATTTATTTATTTGATGGGGCTGGGGTTTGAACTCAGGGCTTCATGCTTGCAAAACAGGAGCTCTGCTGCATAAGCCACACCTCCAGTCCATTTTGCTCTGGTTATTTTGAAGATGGGGTCTTGCAAACTACTGGGCTGGGCTTGAACTGTAATCCTCCTGATCTCAGCCTTCCAAGTAG